GTCATAAAAATACAACGTCATTCTTTTGTAAAACTCTCAGAGTTCGTTTGTTTACTGTTTTTAGACAATATTATCTTGTTTACTTTGGCATAATATTAACGGAATGCAAAAATATCGTATCACCAAAATACTATGTTAATTACAATAAACGATATCAAAAAGAATTAAAAGGGTCGTAAGAAAAAAGATACGAAAACAAATTCTTAAAATTCAACATTTATTTATCGTACTAAAATAATTTAATAAATACCATATCCACATCCTGGACCCATTCTCGGTCCTGAAGAACCGCTGGCAACCATTGGTGCCGAGGCAAGATTGGCACCACCATAATTGCCACCTATATTATCAATGCCAACATTCCCATTACCACAGCTGTACGTTGTACCCACGGAACCACTTGTAGGCAATTTACCATCTACAGCCACTGCTGCCAGAATCGGTAGCTGCCCAGTCACAACAAGAGCGCCTTCAATGTTATTTTCGGATATGATAGAAATGCCACTGGGAGAAATAGGGGAGTTGTTGGAGATAGGAAAGGCGCCGCCATAGGTGTTACCAGCGTTGCTGTAGCTGAATCCATTTAAACCCGAATTAGGGAAGTTAGGGCCATGGAAGCTAGAACCGCAACCAGTATTGAAGTTGATTGGTGCTGAGTTGATACACTGGATTGAGACGATCTGGAGACAAAGAAGTCAATTAATGATGGGTTAGCAAGAAATAGAGAACTTGATTTAGTATTTTATGCTTTATTCAATAATATCGAGTATATAACCAGTATGTAACCAATTGACGACATCTGTCAATTGTTTCGAATTCGACAATAAATAAAATTAAAAGACATTTCGTCTCTATTTCTGGTTATATATACGATGTTCCATAGTAATGCAAAAAAGGAAAACGGAAACAAGAATCTTTTGTTTTGATGAAAAGACGACATGATGAGATACTGAGAATGTTATCTGAGAATATTACGTAATAATACGGATGCACGAAAAGAGCCTCCGCGCACGATGTACCATTCCTTTCTTGTGCGTCTTTGGTACCCTGGGCAACAATCGGCTAATACGAAGATTTTTTTTCGCCAATTGAAACCTCCTTTCGCCACAATGTCAAACATTATAATGTATGCCATCGTTACGATACGGACGACGCATAAATAATCAATTCAAACAAAATAAAAACAATGATCATTTAAACAAATATTTTATGATTTTTTTGTGATTGTACCTACCTTTACAAGAAGAATTGAGGCGCAAAGAATAACAAAAACTCTGGCAACCATTTTTAAATATTTTTTTCTATAAGTTTTAACTTTCCTTAGTTATGAATTGTGAATGATAGTTTTCAAGAAATCAATTCCTATTTATATGAATAATTAGTTACCAATCAAAGTTATGTCATTTAAAATTTCTAATGATTGCTATATTATTTGTCAATATCACAATTATATGACATTATAATTACCCAGTAACTATATTTAATAAGAGATAAGATAAAGGCACGTGAGAAAAAGTTAACGCAAGTCGATTGGCGCACGTTTCTTTAAAGATAACTTCGTAAGTCTTAAAAATGAAGTAGGAGAAAATAATGAATAACAATGTATTATTGAAAATCATACCTCAATTTTAATATACATTTAGGTATGTGTTACTTTGAATTTAGATTTATATAACCTTTGATATTCATATTTAATTGATATAATGTGTTGGTTAGTTGCAGTATTAGGCTCAACCCGCACTGGCGCAGAGTCGAAGCGTTATCTTGTTTTTCAACTACAACGCTACGACACGCGCCCGGATCACAGTATGGTCCCATAACACAAATTTGTACCTTAATAATGTGATAATAGAGATGAATATGCTATAGGCGAAATACATGGAGCGCCGCGACGCTTCGTCTCTGCGTCAGTGTGAGTTGAGCCTGAGTGTGCAGTTTTAAGGTAAATAATTAAATTAAACGGATCGAAGGAATTTTTTCTGAGTGTTCGATCTTTGTATTAATAATTATAACAAACTAGTGGAGTAATTTCACATAAAAAAGAATTGAATATCAATTCAATAAAAATTTAAAATAACTATATTAAATATAATGTGGTCATAAGTACAGTCACGTCACGTCAAGTTATTAACTTTTGTTCGAATATAGTCTCTAGTGCAACGAAACAAAATCCGTCGATGTGCGGGCGGCTTGATGTGCTGCCGTCAGTACTTAAGCCCAGGCTACAACGCGAACAAAGCTATAGTCCAATCCATTTTGAACAAAAAATAATCAAACCTGTTTGGTTAAAATTCTAAAGCAATCACTCAATAAATCGAATAATACTTTCACGTATATTTGGAAGATTTCGACTTGATATATCATCACTTTTTCCAACTACATTCATTTGAAAATCATCGTAAAAACGTATTTGAAAAATGGTAGTCCAAAAGTGAGGTTATTATTCATCTATACTTCTATGACTTACCTATGGTTGCATAGTGCTGTTCGAAAAAAAACATTCGGTTCAATCAATTAAAGTTTAGTAATCGATTATTAAATCGAACATTTCAATCGCAATCGAACGAGTATCTAAATGTAAGGATGTGAAGGAGGATTTACATTGAAATTTAAAATTGGCTTATATAGGTTATGCAAGGAAAACTGCTATTACGACTCAATTGAACAAATCGATTCATTCATTTAATAAATCGATTTGTAGTTGGCTTTAGAATTGGCCACCACTAAACCGTCTATGGTCGGGTCAGTGACTTGTTTGTTTACTTTTTATTCAAAATGGATTGAAACGAAGTATAGCTCACGTAGTTGCATGCAAAGCTGCTAAGCTAAGGAAATACGTAGTAAGTAGTGACTATGGATACGTGTGAGGGCGTCAGAAGAGCGATATACATAGCTAACGTGATCGTTGGGTTAGTTAAGTTAGTTCGGTTAGTTTAGTTCGCGGTGTGAGCCGAAGTATGAAAAGATGCCTCGAATACTGATAATAGCTTCGGCCTGCGCATTACAATGTAACAGCGTGAGACCCTCTGTGCTAATGTTGCCATGCCCTTACACACCTTACAGGGCGTCATATTGTGTTTTAGTTAGTGAACTATGTATTACTTATTTACCATTACAAATGTGCACAATGAATGATTTGAAATAAATAAATAAATTAGGAAAACGATAAAAAGAACTTGGAAGATTACAGTTACGACCGTATTTCAATTGAAGAACACAACTTGTTTAAAATTACGTATTTATAGCATTTTTAGATGTATACTGCTTCCGTTATTCTATAGAAAGCTTTTTTAAAGCGGTTTACCAACTTCAAAATGAATATTATGCATTAGTAGTTTGTTTTATTAGTAGTTATTTCAAATTAATATATCGGGTTGAATTGATTGTATATTGGGAAAGATAAATAGCGATTCTAAAGTTGAAGGGGTTCCTCAGGGTATGTTATTGGGCCCAAGGTTTATTATTCATTTTGTGTAAAATGGATTTTATGTGTACTGCCTTTGTGGCCGAACGGTTACCATGGACTGCCACGCAGAGGTCCCGGGTTCGATTTCTCCCGTGCCGCGAGAAATATTTGTATGGCTTGCTTTAATTTCTCTTGTGAGTTTGGGTGTAAATTGTGGTTGTCTATGTGTGTGTCCATGGCACTAGCGATACAGGGTTTCCTTAGGGTATGAGTGTGTGCACGTTATGTGTCAAAATAGTATTTCCAGTGAATTAATATTAGTGTAATTATTACGTAGAAAATAATTATTTCATATAATATTAAAAAGTCACGTTCGTATACCAAATTACCAAATAAACGATTTTTAGGTTTATTTTTTTATATAAAAACGTTAGTAGGAATACAAAACAGCATTCTAAGTTTATCCTTCGAATACAAACAAACCAATATGTCTTCTTTCGCTTTCTTTTTACTGTGTGTTCAGGCTTGCCTCATTCAGGTCAGAACATTATTTAAACTCTGTTTGATTTTGTAGCTTTTGCATGATATTTTTCCACAATTATCAACATTGTTTATTCTGGTCTGAGTTATTAAAAGTCTTTTGATTTTAGGCGGTGTACACTCAGTGCGGTTTCGCTAACACTCCTGCAGCCAACGCTGCTGCTGCGAATGCTGCAGCTGCTAACGTCGCTGCTGCAAATGCTGCAGCGATCAGAGCTACTGGATACGGCCCTGGTTGGGCTGGTCCCGCTGCATATGCTCCCGCTGCGGCGTACAGCGGCAACGGCGCCGGTAATGTGGCGGTGGCGGGTGAATTAGACGTGGCCGGTTCCACCCTGGTCGCGGGTCAAGTACCAGTGCTTGGTGAGGTGAAATTCAGCGGACCAATTCCCGCTGCCGGTGCTGTCACCATCTCCGGGTCCTGCGGATGTGGATGCGGATATTAATTTTGATGATAATTTAAATAAAATTTAGTAAATAATATGCAATTTAAAATGTTATTTTTTACCTCTTACAATTCGTATTCGGAATAGTTTGAAGACTTCTGTATTTTCACTATTCTGCAATGGGTAGTAAATAGTAGCTTATATAATTCTAAGTAGTTTATAAGACTTTTGTATGTTGACTATTTCTAAAAACGTAACGCGTTATGAATGCCATCAAGCACTCATGGAGGTATGTATACAAAACCACGTAACTCTACAGTGGATTAAAGGACACAGCGGCTCACGTGGCAATGACGCAGCAGATGAACTAGCCAGAAAAGGGTCGGAGACGGATGCTGTAGAACCAGAACCCATAATGTCCCTCCCCTACCAATGGTCCAGAACAACTATACACAAAGGTACAAAAACTTCACATAATGATACATGGACCACCCTTACGGCTTATAGACAGGCGAGGGAAGCACTCCCAACGCTCAATGCCAGTCTATCACGAATGTTAATTAAACTCAAAAGGCAAGAGCTTCGCACTCTAACTGCTGCCCTAACAGGTCATGGTCCATACAACAAACACCTTTTCAATTTAGGTATCACAGACAGCCCTCTATGCAGAGCGTGCATGGATGGGGAGGAAACGGCTGCGCACATCCTACTACAGTGCTCCGGCGTGGCCAACTACAGGGCGACCTTGGAGTGCCAAGGTCGCTCCCCGAAATCTTCAGCAAACCGACGAGGCTGCTGAGATTCCTGGAGGAGCTTGGGTCGCACGAGTAGGACCCTGCACCCACAACACGCAAAATAGTGAATCGTGAATCGAGTTGCGGACACCAGCCCGTGTACAGTACCAAGTACCAAGTACGTAGCGCATCGCGTAACTCCTGGCATGCATCTCAGTATGAACGGCATCCTGAGCACATTGGCTGATAGATGGGAGTCCGCAACACTGGGGCAGTGGATGACCTTGTACACTGCTGTCATTGCGTAGATTGTCTTGTCTGTGGCTGGTTATGTTGAGCATTTATCTAGGCAATATGAGTATTTTATCATTATTAAAAACCTAACTAGCTTCTAACAAATAATAATACAATGGATGAACGAATATATGAAAACTGCCTCTGTGGCCGAACGGTTACCATGCCAGACTGTCACGCAGAGGTCCCAGGTTCGATTCCCGGGCCGGGAGAAATATTTGTATGGCCTACATTTATTTCTCTCGTGAGTTTGGGTGTAATTTGTGGTTGTCTATGTGTGTGTCCATGGCACCCGCGACACAGGGTTTCCCTAGTGCGGGGCTATGTTGAGTGTGAGCGTTATAAAAAAAAATAAAAAAAATGTTTTATTATAATTATTATTATTATTATTGCTTCCTTGCTAGTCTATCGAAGACAGGATATTATCTTTTTCTAGATCTTTTCTTCTTAATCAGAATCTTAGCAAGATGACCAAGATTAACTTTGCCAGTTTGTTTTTATTAACTAAATATTTGCGCATTTGCACTCCAACTCACCGATGACGGAGCACGGACACCTAAATAATGCCTATTGACTCTCGCCTGGAAAACGTCCAAATTATACCATTTAGAGAACAAGTCTTCAGGTAGGGTATTCCACTCCGTAGCCCTTCACTTTTTAAATGTGGAAGCGTAACGCTTCGTGTGAATCTTTACAATATCCACAAAACTGGAACCCCAGCCTATGTCTAGTCCCCCGATGACGGCAAAGTGAATCAAATTATGCAATTCACACATACTCTCCCTCTAAGTGGCAGCAGTACTCCACACATGACCGGACTAGTGATTGGTACAGCTGAAACAACTGTCCGATGTGAAGTTACGATTAAATCGTGCAATCTCCTCACACACTCGTTTCGTATCTTATAACTTTGTTTTCGACCCTGTTTTGTTTTAGGTAACTACCATTGACTTACAAATAAATGGACGACGGGTCTAATACAAAAACCACGAAAAAAATGTCCCAAGTCAACCTATTTAAACGTAGTGTAACATGTAAAGGAATATGAAAGAGCTAAAACGTTGAATTTAAATTGTAATGTCATCGCAGTACTGTCTAATTTTGCTTGCTTCGCTGTCAGTCGAACAAACGAAGACTAGAGCGTGAATGACGCTCTGTATACGATTTGAACGCCCTATAAGTTCGGACACTTTTTAGCGCGGACCCGACGTCCATATAATTGTAAGTCAATGGTAACTACCTATATATATCATTTGGACATTCCAACTCTCTCCTTCTCGATATACATAGAGTTTTTTGATATTTGTGTGGGAAATTAATTTGAAATTAACCGTGAGCTTTTCGATGCAGGACAACATCGTGAGGAAACTTGTATACATTTGCAAAGCAATTTAATGATGTGTGTGAAAGTCCCAATCGAAATTGGGCCCGCCTGGGAACAGCTCAAACACTTGCATTGTGAAAGGAGATCTATGCCCAGCAGTGGGACTATACTCAATACTCAATACTCAATCTTTATTGCTTTTCCATATGTTTACAAGGTGTTACAAAGTATATAATATTAGGGGTTAAAGTATGAAATTGCCGTTTTATTGCAATAGGTTCTTTGAATTTTCATAGAATCTTCATGGTTTGAGGTTTTCGAATGAAACTTTTTTCAAATGGTTTCTGTGATTTTTTTTTCTTTTTAATTTGAAACATTTGAATATCGACTTTCAATTGTTTTTGTTATTCAATTTAGACAAGAAAGATGGATACTGCGAAAATTCGAGTGATTTTTTAATACGAGTTCCGACGCGGAACTAACGCGGCAGAAACAGCCCGCAATATCAATGCTGCGTTTGGAGAGGGGTCTACTAATGAACGCACCGTGCGATTTTGGTTTAAACGCTTTCGTGATGGAAATTTCGACTTAAAGAACGAGTCACGAGGAAGACCGCCCACACAGGTGAATAACGATGAATTAAGAGAGATAGTGGAAGCCGATCCTAGTCAAACTACCCAGGAATTGGCGGCATGGTTTAACGTTACCTTACCCACAATATTGACTCACTTGCGTCAAATCAATAAAATAAAAAAATACGAAAAATGGGTGCCTCATGATTTGACTGATCTGCAGAAAGAAACGCGTGTTGAAACTTGTGTTGCCTTGTTGAACCGGTACAGAAATGAAGGAATATTGGATCGAATTGTAACATGTGATGAAAAGTGGATTCTTTATGATAACCGGAAAAGAAAAATGCAATGGCTGACCCCAGGTCAAATGCCACAACAGTGTCCTAAAGCAAAACTTACCAATAAAAAGGTAATGGTAACTGTTTGGTGGTCTCAGCATGGTGTTATTCACTATAGTTTTCTCCGATCTGGTCAAGCAATAACGGCAGATGTCTATTGTGCCGAACTCCGAACCATGTTGACAAAACTAGCAGTAAAACAGCCCCGACTCATGAATCGATCTTCACCATTATTGCTCCACGACAACGCGAGACCTCACATAGCACGAGAAACCATTTTGACCCTTCAGGAACTGCAGTTAGAAACCATTCGTCATCCTCCGTATTCACCAGACCTTGCTCCAACGGACTACCATTTTTTTCGTGATTTGGACAATTATCTACGTGACAAGAAGTTTTCTTCCCAGGAGGCAGTACAAAATGCTTTCACACAGTTTGTGCAGTCTAGATCGTCGGAGTTCTATCGCAAAGGCATTAATAACCTTCCCATTAGATGGCAGCAATGTATAGATAATAATGGCAACTATTTTGATTAAATAAATTTGTTAAAAATTAAAAAAATAAACAATTTAGATTTTCAGTACAAATCGGCAATTTCATACTTTAACCCCTATTATAATAGATCATGTATGGACCCTGTCGGGCACAGCAAATGAAAGGGAGGCATTTTTAATAATTGGTAATAGATAAAATATATTGAGGTGAAATATTTTATGAGCATGTATTTAAGTATTATTTATTTTTATATACAGCCTTTTTTACTTATTTATATATATTTGCTTTTTAATGATTAAAAATAGTAATTTACGTAAATATTATTTTATAATCTATTATTTATTTCTAAACATAACATTTAAACTTATTTGTATTTTTAATGATTTAGTAATAATTATTGAACAATATATTATTTTATAATCTATATTTATTTTTAAATATTATATTTTTACTTTTTGGTACGTATATGCATTTTTAATAATATAGAAATAATTATTTAAGTAGTATCTTATTCCATTCCATATTTAAGTATTATTTATTTTCAAATACTACATTTTCATTTATTTGTAATTATTTGCGTTTCTAATAATTTAGGAATAATTATTGATGTAGTATATATTATGTATAGGCTAACTGTATTATTTGTTACAGCAAGTGCTCAGCAAATGCAATCTCAATAATATCTCGAAGAAATGACACAACAAACTATACGAGTAATATTAACGTACATGTCGAATGAGGCAGAGCTTCTGAGGAAATAGAAGAATGAAAGTGACGTTTTTAAAGTCATAAAGTTTTCAAACCATAGATATTATCCAAGGGGTATCATTTACTATCTTTCTAATATCTGCAAATATTAAAGTAAATAATAATAATAATGCTCTAGACAGCCACACCTGGTCTCCAACAACGGAAGTCCTTGAACTATGAGTGCCAGACCAATGGAATTAAGAACCATTTAGGAAGGTCATTCCCAAAGGCAATCGCACAAGGGACCTTCTCATCCAGCGCCCATGAAGCAAAGCGTCGGCCCACAATATCGTCTGATGTCGTCAAAGTTGTAACATTTGAGTAACTTAAATTTATGTAGTTACATAATTAATATTTCACAAATTATTGTGGTCGCTAATTGCATTTTTATTTTGAAATAATTTGACGACGGTAGATTACGACATGAACAAATCGCAACTTTGGTGTAATAATGTCAAAAATGTAGACGAAGCTTGACATCCTTTCCAAGGGGAGGCGTTACTTCACACCAGGACTGTTGCTCCATCTGTACCAAGTGTAAGGAGTACTGCTGCCACTTATGGGATGGCTCTGATATATACCAACTGGCCATCTTGGATTCGATCGACAAGCGTGCTAAGAGGCTTACAGGTGACTCGGAATTAGTAGAGGCGAATCTACAGAGCCTTGAACACTGCCGTAAAGTTGCCTGCTTATCGGTATTCTACAGGATATATCACGGAAAGTGTGCGATGGAATTGCATAATTTGATTTCGCCTTCCCCTTTCCATCATCGGTGGACTAGACGTGGGCTGGGGTTTCGCCTTGAAAGGTTTGTAACCCTAACTAGCCGTGAACAGGTTCACGGCAATGAAATGGGAAACTTCCGGTCCACAAAATTTATTAAAGAAGTAAAGTTTAAAGAAAGGCTGTTACAATATAAAGGTAAATGTTAAAAAAACAGGTATAACAGTATAAAACACTCCCTACACTTAATTATTAAGGCGCTTACCCCTAAATGGGCCGAGAAACTGAATTACAGAAATATATACATGAAGGCTGTAGACTTATAAATTGTTACACATGATTAGCTTATTAACAGCTCCGACTGTTGTGGCGGTCGAAATGGGAGTGACCGTGGTACGAAAACAAAATGAGAAAGTAAAGGAAGATGGAACAATTCAAATTTAAAATTTAAATACATGTAAAATAAAAAATGATAGGATACAAGCGGAGAGAGGCGATACAAAGAGGTGAGATGACGGTGTAAGGAGGTCACACCGTCACAGCCCCTATGTTGTGGATATTTCCAGGTTCTACACCAAGCGTTTCGCTTCCACATTTATATGGCGAGAGTGGAATTCCTCGCCTGCGAACTTGTTCCCCAAACGCTATAACTTGGACCTTTTCAAGGCCAGAGTCAGTGACTAGGCATTATTTAGGTGCGCATGATACATAGTCGAAATCATCGTCACTTTTCATTAAGTGAGATGGAGGTCAAATGCGCACTTATTTTATATTTAAAAAAAAGTCTCACTACAAAATTACTCCTTTTCTTTTGCTATTTAAGCAAGACGTATAAAATTTCACTTTATACCTGTGTATTTTATTTACCTTCGTATTGGCTATCATGTGACGAGACACTTTTCACGTATGATGACAAGCATCTTTATTATAAAAATGGTACGAAACTATATTCTGCATTAGAGAGCTTCTTATGAAATAATTCGTTCAGGGAAATACAGCCACCCTATCTATTTCCGCCGCCAAATAACACGTGAGCATTACTGCATTCCAGTTTTTAACGGTAAGGATGCTGGTGAGTAATTTCAAGCACATGGGGCTTGTCTACTTATGTCTCGGGGTGACGGGACAAATAATAAAGGCACTTTTGGCGTATGATCTCTTGTAACTTTATTATATCGTAGGTACGAAGGGTTGATATGAATAAAAGGAAAATCTTGAAAAATCTTTTGTTTTATTTCAAACAGTTGTTTGTCATTGTACAGTTCGACTCTTCCGTAGAACAAAGATCTATGTGCAAGACTACTTGTCCTCAGGACAGAGTACGTTTCGTTCGTTCTACTTCGTTGCGGATGTTAGATCGACCGTTGTTCGATTTTATATTTCCGAAACGAAATAAGATATCACGTTCTCAAAACACACGTTTGAATAACGAAATTATTTTCGTAACGTACTTATTCTCTTTTCGCTATATAATCACATAAGACTGTGTTCTTCGGATGAGTCGAGTTGGGTAGGGGGTGGTTAAAAAAGAGTGACCACTGCTTGACGCAATTTACTTTGGAAATTAGAAGAGTGTCCGCTATTTATTTAAGTTGAATATATTTCGGACAAGTTTAAGCACCACCATGTATTTCATATTAATTCAAATGCGAAGTCGAAATAAGTATTTCAAGTTAAATTCGCTGGTAGCTTAAAAGATCGATTAGAATATTATTATAAATTTTCTTATCAAATACATCTTTGGTTTTATTTCAAAAAGTGCTGAACATTTTAGGTTATTTGTCTTTCTGTAATTCGATAGAGGGTGGTTAAAAAAGCGTGAAAATTAACAATTTAAGCGCATCCACACCCACATTTGCCACTAGTAGTGGCTTTACCATAAGCATAAACTTTCCCATTGAATTTAACCAAACCCAGGACTGGAACAGTTCCAGTGAGTCTAGTTGTTCCTTTGATGCCGACGTCACCGGACACTACGACGTTACCGGCACCATAGCCCTCGTATGCTTCAAATCTGTTATCGCTTAGGATGACAGCAGGAAGTAATGAAGGAATTTTTGGTGCAGCTGGACCACAAGGCTTGATTGAGGCAATGGGATTGGCGCAATTGTACTGAAACATGAAAAATTAGAATTTAATGATATCATCAACAATACAGTTGGTTATTTATCACAGACAACGCTTGAAGAAGTTTTTATGTGTTGCGGTTCGAATTCACTTGGTCAAGTACGGATAATGTAGGCGAGGCTTGTAAATTAGAATTTGTTTCAATTTTGACTTGACAATTATTACTTGCATGAATTAATAGCAATATGTTATATAAAAATATAATACATTAAATACATTTAAGACTTGTGTTAAGAATAGTGCAAGAAAAGAAAAGCTTATTAAAGACAATAAAGAACCGAAGGAGAAAGATGTTTGGCCATCTGATTGGTCACGACAGTTTTCTTGTAAGAGAAATCGTAGAAAAGAGAAGCAGAGGACTACTGAGACGAAGTTATTTAGATGAATAAGGGAAAAGTTAATGTCGTGTGTTGTATCAGAGACTCAAAGTTAGGGCGCTGGATAGAGATGGCCCGCGATTACCCCACCGACAAGAGCCTAGCTCTTAAATAAGAAGAAGAAACACTTTATAAAGATATTATTATTAGTAAAACTTTATAAACTCGTTATATTCCATCCTTCCATGTCCTTGTAAGCGTGGGCGGTGCAGGTTCTGTCGCCAGTTGCACTTTTCTTTTTTTTTTAAATAATATTAAGTAACGGAAGGAACAAGTGGTATGCCTGGTGGTAAGCTCGTCTTGTCGCCTGTCTTTCACAGTTGTGTGCCACTCAGAGGTTTAAATCGGAAAGATCTGAAGGGCACTGACTCTGCGCCTGTCACCCTGAGACATAATTTGACAAGTCAAATGTGTCTGTAATTTCCAGCACCCTTACTCTTCAAAACCGGAGAATTGCTTGGAGGCAGAAATAGGTAAGGTAGCAGTACTTCCCTAGGCGAATTATTTCACAAGGAGCTCTAGTGCTGTTAAAGTGTTACGGATCAGTGCTACATACGGCTTTACGCCTTTTGCGGTTGCAACTCTGGGTCCCTGGGGGCCACAGGCGAAACCTTTAGCGAACGAGCTGTCAGATCGCCTCTGTAGAAGCCTCCGATGACTACAACGCTGGCAGTTATTTTCGTCAAAGCATAAGTCTAGCTACTCAAAGGCGAAATGTCGCCAACCTTCAGGGCACGATGCCCTAAGGTGCGGCTCTCGATGAAATTATCCGCATTAAATTCTTATAAAAAATCATCATACTGACTAGAGTGAAGATATTGAACTCATAAACAAACTTAATATAAAATATAAAAAAGAGGTAAGAACATTACCTGGATCAGGCAAGCCTGGATGCAGAGCACCAAAAAAGCGAAGGAAGACATGTTGGTTAGTCAATACTCAACGGATAGACCTAGAATGATGTTTCGAAATTTAAAACAGCTATTTATACTCGCAAAATTGATAATTTGAAGGCTTTACTTCCTTTACAATAAACAGTAATACGTGAGATTACTTCCTTCTGCTTCTAGTAGAGGCGATAGGAGTGAACAGGTGTACAATAAAATGTAATAATAATAAATACATTTATCACCACAAATTTTAGTTACAATTTATTTGGTCAAAACTAGGTCCTTTGTGTTTTAGAAAGAAAGAAAGAAAGAAAAGTAATTTATTCAGCACAATACACGTGGAGTACAATATTAATAATTAGTATTAAACGTGTATTATTGCACTGAAAAGGACCCAACTCAGCTAATACTGCGGCAGGGCCACAGCGCTGGTTTTCAGTGGACCTTTTTCGAAAATGCCGATTAAAAGAAATAAAAATATATGAATAAAATAAAAACAAAACGTGGACGCGAGTTAAATAAAAACTTAAACATGAAACAATATAATTAAATAGGAAACATAAGACAAATTTCAACTAATGTCCCAACAAAGATTCACTCTGCTTTTTATTTTTTATTTTGTATTTTGAGGCGCATTACACAAATAAAATTTTTACTAAGCGATGGAACGAATAAGTCGCGTCTGGTGGTCTTACCACCGCTTAGTGATACACCTGTCCTTAACAGTTGCAGAGCCACTCAGAGCTTTAAATTGCAAAGATCTGAAAGTAACTACCACTGCGCCGATCAGCCTAAGATATAAGTTGACAAGTCTCATGTGCCTATAATTTCACTTACAGCAGCAGTCTTATTAACTAAAGTGGCAAAATGTAGGAGACTGGAATCTGAACCAGATCAAGAGATATGTGTCTTAAGCTTTCAGCCTCCCTGATTCGAACTTTGTAGCAGTAGATCTCTTTGTGACCTTATCTATTTCTGCCGCCAAACAGTAATGTTAGCAGTACTGCGTTCCGGTTTAGAAGGGTAAGGATACTGGTCAAATTACAGACTTGTCAACTCATGTCTTAGGGTGACGGGCGCAGTGGTAGTGCCCCTCAGATCTTTGCAATTTAAAGCTCGGAGTGGCACTGCAACTGTTATGGACAGGCGTGTCACTTGATGCTATAAAAAAATGATTGTAATTTGTATCGAATTTGTGCGAGCAACCACAAATTTACTTCAAGACATTGACTTACAAATAAATGGACGACGGGTCTAATACAAAAACCACGAAAAACCTATTTAAACGTAGTGACATGTAAAGGAATATGAAAAGGCTAAAACGTTGAATTCAAATTGTAATGTCATCGCAGTACTGTCTAATTTTGCTTGTTTCGCTGTCAGTCGAACAAACGAAGACTAAAGCGTGAATGACGCTCTGTATACGATTTTAACGCCCTATAAGTTCGGACACTTTTTAGCGCGGACCCGACGTCCATATAATTGTAAGTCAATGCTTCAAGAAGATGCCATTAAAAAATTAATATAAAGAGTTCGAGTAAAAAATTACAGGCACATGGGACTTGTCAACTTATGTCTCAGGGCGACGGGCGCAGTGGCAGTTAGGTGAGATCTTTGCGATGTAGGGTTCTGGGTGGCACTATAACTGTTACGGATAGGTGTGTAGCTTACCATCAGCGCACGACTTGTTGGTCCCGTCACTCCCGAAACAATTACCGTCAAATTCACTTATTTTATTTATTTTTATTTAGGCATTAATCCCATAACATTACATTATACATTATCCGATCATAAAAATTTGAAAGCAATAAATAAAATAAAAATTAAAAATTAAATACAAGTTGCTAACTAAAAGTGTCAATTAATTATAAAATTAAAATACAATTAACACGATTAACATTGGAAACATTAAAAACAGTGACTATAATAGTCACATCTTAAAAACAAAGTCTGCACAAGTTCATTGCAAAAGACCATTGACGCTTCCTTAAAAGGGCGTAAAAATCGTTCACCCTGTAAGGGTCTTACCATGAACTTTTATTACAGTTCAGTATAGGTTCGTAATGACGAAAAAGCGGGATGGTGATGTACACTTCATGTAGCGCTATCTCACAACGATTCATTTTAGTTTCTAAAGTGGGGGTCTACTCTCGATTTCCGTCCGTCATCCGTCCGAAACAATTACTGCCAAATAAGCAACACTTGACCAAATGAAAAGACGTGAAATAAGAAATACTCGTCTAAATTAAAAGATGCATTGATGTGGTCGAGTATTACTTATTTGACAGTAATTGTTTTGGACGGATGTCGGATGAAGAACGAGAGTAGCTCGTCTCTATCTAGTCTCTATTTCTGGTTATATACTCGATCCTCACAGTGTAAAAGACAATAAACGAAAAGTGAAAAAATAACAACCGGATCGAAGGAATTTTCTTAGTGTATGTATTAATAATTATAACAAACTAATGGAGTAATTTTCCAAAAAAATAATCGAACATCACTATGGTTCGTCCCCTCACTTGATATTATAAAAAAAATGGTAGTAAAAACTTGAGATATTCAATAAACTTAATATTAAGATCAAAAGTAATCAAGTCAGTGTTTTCTGCATTAAACCCTTTGTTGAGTGTTCTTATCTGACATCCTCAACCAATGCACCTGTTGAAATTAGGTCTTTCAACTCAGGAAATGTCACGTACATACGTTTGTTGCACAATATGGAAACAAATCACTCCAGTAACACAGTTTTTGTACGAAACTAGTTTGTATAAATACTTCGATAAGTCATCCAGAAATCATTCTCGAGTTGTAACTTGAAGAACTTCAACAATGGCAGCTAAAGCTTTCCTCGTTGTGTGCGCTTCTGCGCTTTTCGTTCAGGTATGTTCTTTCACTTAGCTACATTCTTGATTTTAATTCTTAGTAGGGTTCTCTGTGCAGAACCTGGATGGGAAAAATACCACCTTAGTGCAGAACTGGCATATTTTAGCTTGAGAGAGCCAGTACAATAACAGGGTCCTTAAGATATTTTGCCTGGCGGCTGGTAACTTCTATAAATGGTGGTAACATCTCACTGCATATCGGTTTCCATATCTTCTAGAAAAAGTCTTCAATTGTTACCATTATCGTCAATTTCAAGATAACCGTGTTACTTAAATTGACTTACGTCTCTTAACCTGAGGAGGGTTCAAGAGAAGGATACAATACTACCTCTTAGGTACTCTCGTAAACTCTCGAAACATCTGTTTACTGCAAGAAGTGATCGTTTTACTCTGTATTTATCAGCCCCTGTTTGCTACTCGTTAAACTCGTGACACGAACACTGCTACTTCTACTTCAGGATTATTAATTGGTGTTTCTTTTCTTCTAAAGTAATTTTGTATTTTATGCAGGCCACCTCTGCCAAGTGTCTACGTGAGCGTGCTCACATTATCCCAGCTCCCATCTGCGACGTGGCCTACTACGACCAAATTATCGCATCTAACATGGCATCTGCTAGCGGCGGCGGCCTCGGTGTGGCTACCTCCTCCCTCTACGCACCTAACGGTCTTTCCGTGTTGTCCGAAAACGACATTTCAGGCATGCTTGATGCATCCGGCCACCTCCCCGTGTTAGCCGCCGTCGCTCTGGAGGGTACTTTGCCAACCAGCGGTTTAGCTGGAACCACCTACAGCTGTGGAAGTGATCTGGTGGGTATCGATAGCGTAAGCCTTGCTGCTGCTGGCATTGACGCTGTGGACTACCGCGGCGGCTATAACTCCGCTTTCGCCGCCAATGCTGCTGCCGCTGCCAATGCCGTTGCCGCCGCCGCTGCAGCCGACGCTGCAGCCGATGC